GGGGGGGGGGGCGGGGGCACGCGGCGCGGCACTCTTTCTCGTCTGACGCTCTTTCCAAGGAGACAGTACTGGACCTGAGTCTAGGGGAATGGAACATACGTGCGTCCGAGGATGCGCGCAGTGAATTTGGTGGCGATTCGCACGATTCTAGCACCTACTACTGGGGCTCAAACTTGAGGTAGATTCGTTTAATGGGGTCAGCCAATCCTACTGATCTACTCTACTTCGAATTTGGGCCTCAATGATAGGCGCTGAAGTCGTTCAAATCTCCACGAACCTCGCCGCGCGCAGCCTCGGACGCACGTATGTACCCATACCCCTGAGTCTGGGAAGGAATGGTGAGGTAGTACTGACGTGTTTCGTGATTTAGAAAAAACTAACTTTTGACACATGTTGATATGATTGCATATTATGGATACTCTTCTTCTTAGCCGATAAAACCTATTTTTAAGAAGGGAAGGCGCTCCGGGGTGGGTGAGATGGTTATCTCTTGCAAAAAGTTGAGATGAGACAAAAGTTGAACATTCAATTGGCTCACCCACCCCGGAGCCCCTCCCCTTCCTAAAATTTGATGACAAATACACAGTTATAACATTAAAAAAGCTACGAAACGTCCTTAAACACCATTACGGGCTCGACTACTCTTCCTTCTCTACTGTCTCGTTGGAGAGAGCGCCAGACGAGNCCCCCCCCCCCCACCCACTTAGCACCGGTGCTCCTTCGACTTAGTAATAATTCTAGCTACAGAAACGGAATAATGAAATTAAGACAGAAATACTTCACCGTTCCTTTAGAGTAGCACAGAAGCAGCTTTGGGGAATTCAAGTAGGCAGTTGTTGAGTATTTGCTGTGTGCCGGTGCAATGTCACACCCAGTTTCCGATGCCACGAAAATTGAGAAAATGGAAATAGCACTTCACTACAGAAAACGGTTGATTGATGAATACACAAAGCTTGAGGGTGGTTTATCTTGGGGGATGAAGAGTGTGTGAAGCAACGGACGAAAGGATGTGATTAAATGACATGCAGAAGACATACGAATGGAGTCCTATCTGTGAACGAACTTCTTTACAAGACAATGTTCTGGCTCCGCTTTTAAGAAAAAAAGAAGTAAGCCAGGCTAGGAGCAAGCGTCCCCCCAGATGGGTAGATTGAGTGAAACATAGAAGTTGCGAAAATTATGTTAAGCAAAACATGCATTTTGTTTCTAGACTTCAAGTACCCAATAAGAAGAGCAGAACCTTGACAGCAATTTCTGGCTATAATCATGTGTGGGACACTAATTGTAGTAGAACTCATTAGACCAGAGGTATATTTAGCTACGCTTAAGAGGAATTGCGGTCGAATCGGTCAATGTCCCGATGCGCTCGTTATAGCTGTTCAATACGCTAGTTCTGAAGCTCATGCAAGATGTATGTAGTATTAAGTATACTTCATATGTACACGAAAATTGCAAAAAATTGTAAATCTCTAGAGTCCACGAAAGTGGTAGTAGTATTACTTGTAGTATTACTTACTTCAATCCTTTGAGACACAAATTCCCATTGGGATAAGTGGCTGCACCCATATTCCGCTCAGAAACTTCTTTTGTTGCAATCCATGAAAGTACTCAAAACAAATACCTAGTTCCAAGCTGCTAGTTTTCCGTAAACGAGAGTGTCTTCCAAAAGAAATTACTACTAACATAATAAAGGACAAACGAGGAAATTCAGTTTTGCACCTTAGTTTATGTGGAACCAAACTTTCCCATTAAAGTTAAGTTTAAGCCTAGAATTAAGTACAAATTGGTATCATCCTGTCAATTTTACGGTGGCCATGTGAGTGAAAATTCTTATCGAGGGGTCAGCATGCACTCCAAGTCAGTCTATTGGAACGTGTGCAAGAGCATATTCTACTAACTGTAGCTGAAGATTTGTAAAGAAAAAGTGCCAACGACGAGGAGGTGCGAATGACCCAACGCTAGCCGTTGAACGTCGGCTATGACAGCCGCGTGGCGGTCCGCGGCCGCGAACGACAAGAGCCCCTGTCTTGCGGCCGTCGCCCATAATTGCTACATGACAGTGTTACGATAACAGTTTGAAAACGTCTGAGTACTTCAAGGAACAGCATCACTGCTATGGAATGTCCTTATAGTGTGCTGTATTTCGTGCTCGTTGCAGCATAAATCATCCTTTAAAAGTTTTGTTTGAATTATTGATCTGTAAGACCTTCGCTCTGGGAGGGGCGGGGTTTC